TTTTAATTAAAATGCAATTCTCCATTGTATTGCATTGTAATTGAGTTTAATTAAACTTCAATTAAAACGCAACCCTATATAGGAACGCGTTTTAATCGAGTTCATATCGCAACTATATTAAGTTAATTCAACTATATTAAAAGTTAATCCAATGGTGGCTCCACAATTCATGGGACACCTGTGTGTGTATGTGTGCGTGCGCATGTGTAGATTATTACGTGGAGCAACCTGATTGGCTAACATAGATGGTTCCTGCATGGAATTAACTTGCATGATCCCTTTTATTGTGATTTGGCATATTATTTTAGCAAGAGACTAAACAAATTGACATGGGAAATCATCCTAATACCTTAATTTTTTATCTAAAATTTTAAGGATTTCTCGATAATCTTTTAATTTTGGACCAAATGGAAATAATTTTCAATTGGATTCAGGTTTTGGGGTAATTTATAGAGATTTGTAAGAAATGATTGCCCCCTCAAGAAATGCAATGTAATGAAAGTAGTTGGTTGCCCCCTCAACTTCCTTTCTGTAAATATCTGTTAGATTTCAATTTTGAATGTTTTGTATCATGACCTTTATGCACATTTTTAAATTTATGATTTTATTACACAAGCTGATCAGCATTTTATATTTAAAACCAAAATCAAGCCCCCCCCCCTAAATTCTTGTTTCATAAAAAAGTCTGGCTGAACAAATTTTATTGTAGTACAACCATAAATTTTTGAATCCCAGTGGCTTGATGTTGCAATCCATAATAGTCCGGGGGGGGGGGGGGGGCACATGTGGTAATTTCCCCATAGTTTTAAGCTTAATGGTGTGTACAAATTTCTCAAATCAAATTTACATTTTTTCATTTTAGTGCAGATTTGCCACCCCCTCAAAAGTTCTTAATGGTCAACCCCTAAACTAAATGATAATCAGTGAATATATCAAAATATCTTTATTTCCAAAAATTAAAAATCATTACTACTGGATCAAGAACTTTAGTTTTGAGAAAGTAATTCATGACATAGCCACCAGAGGGCACTGTTCATCTAAACCTTGATTTGGTTGGAAAAAATCCTTGATTTGGTGGCAGTGTTCAGCACTGAGGAAATGATGGATTCTTATAAACTAGCAAGAGCAACAACCAATCATTCTTTGAATACCATAAATGCAAAAAAATGAAAAGCATCTGCATGCATATCACTTTGAGGGCGCTGTCTACTATGATACAGGAAGTATACTACTTGTACCGGTATATTAACTTTGGGGGGTGGGAGGCTCTCGTCCATGGATCATGAAAATTACAGATGGGATACCACAAGCCTCTCCTGGACACAATGCCCACATTTGAAGTGTTGCATCCTCCCCCCAGTCAAACCAACTACTGCACAGTGAGAGGGTGACCAGTCATTGCAAGGTTGAAGTACCAAGTAGCCATTTTGAATAGAACAATTTCTTGTGGTTCAATCGTCTTGAAAATGCATTGTAATAAACAACGTCGACTTCTGCAATCTTTTCAAAATCCTGCCACATATGTATGATTCATGTTTGAGGGCGCTGTCATTTCACGTTTTACTCATCATCATCATGACATTCACATCCCACATTAAACTCCGCAGCTGGTCCATTATGGTCTTCAACTGAGTGTTCTTTGCACGGATTTTCTGATAAAAAAAAAAACATCAATGATAAACTCAAGTTATATTAGAACTTGAGAATGAGGCTTCTTGAAGCCGAAATTTCCTGAAAATATATTGTCTGGCTATATATATGTTGTGGCTATTTGAAAGTCTGATTAAAAATTGAATTAGTTTTAGAATTATAATGTTCTATATATTTTAACTGTCAATTGAAAATCGCCACAAAGAAAGGCTTCACACTTGGGAAAAGTTATTGATTCCATGGAAACAATTCTGGCTCTTTGCTTATTTACATTTTTTATTTAAACCGGGGAAGAGCAAGTGGCTGTGTAGTCATGTTAAAAAAAGTTATTTAAAGGGGGTTAAACGAATGCTTCCTGAAACCACAGGAGCGGTGATTTTGTTATTATATGACATATTTAAAATGACATTTTGCTTGTTTCTGCATATGTCCTTCCAGAGGGCTCAAAGTGGTATTTACAGAATGATGACGTAATGGATGGTATAATTAAACTTGAAAATGACGTGGTAAATTCTTTGTCACAATGTAATGCTGGTGATATTAGCATAATAATGGCTGGGGATTTCAATTCTAGAACCGCATCTGACCCTGATTATATGTTACATGATGATGCTCGTTTTAGCATTGGAATCGATCCTAATTATATGCAGTGTGATTT